TTTTCACTAGGAAGATATTTCATGAAGCGATCGCTTTCAGTTGCAAAACAAATTGTTTAGGCTTTAAGCTAAATACTTAAGAACATCAGAATATGTACAAGAAGAAGCCACTTGGCCCATCTATCCTGTTTGGTAGTTATTGGCAAATTAATCCGAGGTTCTCGTCGAACTGTTTCATGAAGGAAGAAACCCAGATATCGGCCCTAGCAACATGGCTAGGTATCTTGTTCCACACTCCCACCACCCTCTGCATAAAGATGTGCCTTCTGTTTTCAGTTATACACACACACTTGTTCACGTTGTCCATTTCTACTTCATATTTCCCCCTGCTTATTCTATAGCAGCCCAATGGGTTGACTGTTCAAGCCTTTCTGAATTCTGAATACTTGCAGGTCCCCTTACAGTCTTGATTGTTAAAGACTATAAAGTTCAGTTATTTCAGACTAATAGTGTGGGACTGACAGTACTGACTTGACTTTTGATAAAGGATGAATAATGATTTAGGAATTAATAAAACTTTATTCTAAGTTCTTTTGACAATATAAAGAAAAAAAAAAGAGGTGAAGGAAGTACACATTCTAGTTTCAGATACATACTGTATGCTCCTAAAGCTCTGAACTGGATTTTTGTGATTAAGTTCTTGGAGAACAAAGCGATTCCTTACAGAGCTTTTTTCTTGTCAAGAGTTATTCACAGGAAAGTGGTTTTGAAAGAAAGATGCGTCGTAAATATGTTATAGTATATATAATGTTTTATAACGTATTTCAAAGGATATTACTTTAATAAAATAAAAATACTACTTTGGCAGATCATGAAAACTTCAGAAATATACATCTTATACTTCATTCAGATTGGGCACACATACATTCCTATTAGGAAATTACCTGTTTTTTTAAAAAACAACTAACCATATTTGTACTTGTAGAAAGATTTTCTACAATATTCTGTATATGCTGCAGTACAAAATTCTCCAATCTATTCCCACTGAACCAGTCTTGAAGCTCAACCTAAAAAGGATAATGTTCTGGGATACAGAGTGCTTCAGAGGTAGGAAATAAAACTTGGCCAATAAAATAGATCAGTGTGCAATAAACCTTTATATTCACAAATAATTAGCACAAAATGTTTGATGAATGTATTACATGGACCCGTAAGAAAAAGTAAAGGAAGTGATCTGGTCAATTCCCCTCCTGCCCAAAAAGAATGTACTGCTGGAATGACCCGGTATGAACTACTGACCAGAACACTGCAGTAGTGTGCAGTAAACATGAGAAAAATGTTAGGTTTCACATTAGTCAAAACAAAATGCTGTAATTTATCAGATAAAAAACCAACACAGTCTCAAGCCAAAATGTGCCGATTCAATCCGATTTTCTCTCCACTGCAGGCCCTGGAACAAGTTCAAGTAAGGCAGACGATCAGGCACTGGCAGCCATGGCAACCACATGCAAGTCTGGCTTGCTTGGAAAATAAAGAACACTTCTCAAAAAAGCGCACACTTGTGAGACTTCCAGCAGCAAGTGTACATGTGAAAACGGGAAAATGATTACCATCCAGTAAGAAAAAGGATAAAATGCTTAACCTGTCAGGTTTTGGCACTTTAGCTGCTAATGACTCAGGAGTTAAACCAAACACTATTAGTTATCACACTTTGTTCAGAGGAAGGATGAATTATGTCATTGCCTTTTCATCGCAGATATAGACTACCCCATGTGAGTGTGTGTAATTTTGGCGTCTTTAATATTCTTTAAAGGTCTCTGCAAGAAAAGTAGTTTCCTAATTTTTTTTAAAGTTCCTTTACTGGTGGCAGGGGAAGCCCTACACTTACCTCGTCTCGGCTGTTCAGCAGGACAATCCTGATGTCATCACCGGTGCCCCAGGTTTTCTGGTTCTTCCAGACAAAGTCACTGGGGGGGTTCGGGTTCACCCCAGCCCCCGAGGCCCAGATCTGAGGGGAGAAAGCTCGCAGTCGTACACTGATCAGCAAGAGCTTTAAAGTCGTTCACATTGACACCACGCCATATAAGACATTTACTTAAATGCTCAATACCTTGTTGAAATAGGTTATGTTTTTTGGTGGAGGCAAGATTATTCACTTGACCCATATGCTATACAGAAACAACAATATGCTTAAATGTGTCATCCTCTATAAGCTTTGTGTCTAGGTGCAAGCAGAATGCATGCTCAAAAATGTTATTTTATTATAGCCTTTTATTACTATAGCTCCACTTACTGTGATTGTCTGCCCAGCTCTAAGCACAAATGAAGAGGGGATTGTAAATGCAGTTCCTGGCACTGCTGTATAATTTTTCAGAATCCACCCACCAATAGGCTGGTCCTGCAAATAAGCAAAATAAAACCAGAAAATCTAGAGTCCAGTAAGAGGTTTGACAACATGCACAAACAACAAAAGAGAGGTTTCAAAATAACCGCTGAAGTTGTACTCACAGTGTCTGAATTATTCCTGAGCTTGACAAAATTTCCTTCCAAGTCTACCTCATCAACAGACACTCCTCCTACAGATGAGGAATGCTGGGATATTTTGTACCCAGTAGAGACGCCTGGTCTCTCCTCTAGTTTCCTTTTCTTGCCACGGGGTCTCCAGGAGCTGTGCGCGTGACTGCGGGGGACAGCTGTCTGAGGCGAGGGGCCGGGGGAAAGGTTGAACCTGCCGAGCAAATGGGAATTATATCAGCTATCACACAAAGTTACTGAATACAGACCATTGGGCAGTCTTCCCATGAATGAACAGCACCACTGGAATCATCTTGCATATGGTTATTCGCTACAGGCACAATGAATCAATGAAGGATGATTACAGCTATAACTCCAGGACTATGTAACCCAGTGAAGCCTATCCCATTGAGGATGTAAAGTGAGTTGTTATCATAGTACCTCTGTTCTTCTCCTTCCAGCATTTTCCTATAGGCATTGATCTCCATGTCCAGGGCCAGTTTCACATCTAAGAGATTGGCATATTCCTCCAGCTGAGCCTGCATCCGCTGCCTCATTTCCACCATCTCCCGGTCTTTCTCCATCACCCGCTGATGACCAGAAACTCTCTCCCGGTCTAGTGCCTCTTCCAGGTCCCTGACTTTAGCCTCTAATGCGGTGTTCTGTCATGGAAATGACACAAAATAGGCTAAACCTGGTGTCCACTGGGCTAGCTTGAGAAGGAGGCCTCACAGGCCACCTGGGGATATGTCTAAGGTTCTCTTGGTTTGCAGAAATCTTCTCACTGAAGAGGCCGCACAAAATACTCTTCTTCAATATTATGATGCCTTTTTTAAAAATTTGACATTTTAAAATTGTGGGAGAAAAACATAAAAACAATTATACCACTGTTTAAACATTCATGCCTAATAAGAAATCACAGATTTCGATTTTCTGCGCTGTACTTCAGTCTGAGATGGTGGTTTAAGTGCAGACATCGCCCTTAAGGACTATTTCAAGTCAAAGGGAGCCATCTAGGTCAATCCAAATGCTACTGCAGCTGTTCACATTATGAACAGTTTAGTTACACAGCTAAAAGTTACACTCCCAAACAATGAGTTTAACACAGATTGCAGTGATTAGAGAAAATGAAAAATTTCTTTACCTGCTTTTGAAAATGACTGAGCTGAGATGATAAAGTTTCCACTCTCATTTTAGTTCCCATGAGCTCTTCTCTTGAAGCGCAGGCTAAATCACTGTTCTTGGCAGCAGCCAGCTGCGCGTTCTCCAGCTACATGGCAAAGACACCACAGGAAACATGGTACACTCCCACACGGCACTTCATACAGACCTAGACCTTCCTACAAACACTATTCTGCATATTACAGCAGTATCGTTTGGGACCCTTTCGATTACTTAAGCTATGAGATATACTTGTGACATACTGTAGCAAGGAAAAAGTTCACCTCCCGAGTCTCTCTAGGGCCACCGGAGGGCCCCAGAGACAAGAAAACCAGCCCTCTCACTCTTGCGTGTCAACTGTGTGAATACCTCTCAGCATTAACACCTGTTGGTTTAATTAAGAGGACTATACAGTATTAAAGGTTCACAAGGCTACTTGGGCATTCATGCCAGAACCACACCAAGAGTGAGCTCAGGGGCAGCCTTTCTCTACACCAGAGAAAATAAATCTTTTACAGAGCTTTAATGCTCACACCTAACTTCAGATAATAAAGAGCATACAACAGAGCGACTTCACACCGGCGCCAATATCAGAGATATTAGACATGAGCCGGCGAACTGCGCAGCCTAAAAACACACACAACGTACTGCCACACACTCTACAGGGAGATGCCTATAGAAATTATTGCTGAGCTTAAGTTTTGCTCTATTCTTGACCTCCTGTAAAGGACCAACTCACACGTGCCACTTATATGCTATTATATTTACTGTACTGCTTTACTTTCTGCTCTACTTGAGGAAAGTATTACCTTCAAGCGAAGCAAAGTTCCCTTCCTGATTTCAGTTTCCTCTCAGCACTTTACCTCTTTGCTCTCTGCCAGCTGCTGGTCTAAGACTGTCCTATACATGAAGTTCTGCTGACTGATCCAAGACTGCATCACAGAAAAAATGTGCATTTACGGAGGTCAACCCAGGGAAGACTTGAGAGCAACAGTCCACTTCACTTGCTTTTGCCCTGACAGGCAGACCTCTCTTGCCCTTTTGCTTTGTAAAACATTCTATATAATTATGGAATAAAGCTCTAAGAGTAGTTGAAAGGCTATATACCTTTGCACTGAATGTTCTCTCGAGCTCCTCCTTGTACTGCTGGATGTCATACTCGTGTTCATTTCGGAGCTGTTTCAGCGCCTCTGCCAATTTACTCTCAAACTCCTTCCGCCGGCCAGAATCCAGCTCCACCAATTTTTTCTCATGGCGGGTCCTCGTTTCCCTGATTTCCTACGAAGATCACAGCGTTGAGTAACCGGAATGAGGCGGCCTCACATTCAAAGGCTGAACTCAAAAGGACCCTGAAGCACCATCCTGAACATGCTTAGCAACAAAAGAGGACTCTTACACATTCATACAGTATCAATTCAAAGAGCACCTTGTAATGATGAATAACAGATACACCTCTTCCATCAACCCTTAAAAAATGTAAATATGACCGTTTTAAAGCAGAATTAGGCTAACTTTATATAGCCTGATACTGTCAGAACTCAGAAGCTAAGCATAGCCGAGTCTTGTACTATGATGCAGCTGTAATTGCTCCTTGTAGATAAATAGATGGTGCTCTTCCCTCTGATGGGAACTTCCATACAAAAAAGCCCTAGTTTGCCTCCTAGTGATCAGTGACACCATGCTATAGAAGGTGCCTTCCTTTGGATCAGACATTAACCAAGGTTAATTACAGTTAATTCCATACTTATAAGGGTACAAAAATTCCACTCTGGGCTTCAACAACCTGGTCTCCACAGAGTTTTCCATTAATTCAGCTGGTGAAGCTGTTTCTCCCTCTTCCACCTGATCTGCTGCCTGAGAGAGCAGAATGACTACCACTAGGTGGGGCTGCACTTCACTGATGGAGAAAGTGAGTCCCCTGCCTATCTGTAAAGCTCGTTGAGATGTAACAACAAACAAATGCTAAAGGTTACTATATCATTATGACTAAAACATCATTAACCATAACAAAGAAACCATGGATTTACAAGTCTCCCATACTTCCTCACTGAGCTGCTTCTGAAAATCCATCTGTTCCCGCAGTGTCTGCACTTGGTTCTCCAAGTCAACTCTTCGCAACATTTCATCATGGAGCTGTGTCCTGGCATCATTTAGTGCAGATTCTAGCTAGGGAACACAAACAATGAAGTTATGCATTTGTCCATGGAATAGATTGGAAAACTGTGATTTTGGCTTCTTCACCCAAAGAAGGCTCCACAGTCGAAATGTCACTTCTCTTGTCTTCTCTATTCAGCATGGAATAAAGCTTTACTTGTTCCAGTTTCATAATGTACTATTGTGTATTGTATGCATGGTTAAAAGACTTATTTAACTCTCTTATAGTTTATGATAATCAACGTACTATTACTTTGGCTTTAAGTTAATTAAAATAACATCAGTCAACTAAAACCAACACCAATAATCAAGTTAATCAGCTAAAACTCAAGTTAATCAGCTAAAATAAATAATATGAATCCCTCCTCTGCATCCAGTGGATGCCTGCACTTTCTCCTTCTGCCTTTCAAGCTATTTCCCCTTACAAGCTCTGTAATTAGCACACCCCACTGTAATGAAAAGGGCAATGAAACTGTCAGTGAGCTTGTAAAGTCTTCTCCAGCCTGTCAGTCCCCATGCTGCCAACACAGGACCGGGACTTTCGCTACAAGACACAAACAAGACCACGTTGAGAAGTGGACTCTGGGTAGTGTGTACCTGGGCAGGTGGCAGGGAGAGACTCACTCACAGCTAGTTTCGTCTCACAATCCTAGTCTCTTGTGTGGCTAATCTGAAAGTTGATCTTAACAGTTCAGTTCAGTCTTGTCCCGCTCTGCTTTTCTTCCATCCAACTTGGATTCTAAACATCACCCAGCCCAAATCACAAATTTGTGAAACAAGAACAAGAACACTACAAATGAAGTTATGTGCTGCTTAAATCTTTTGGGAAGATCTGAAAAATCCTTATGGGCCATCCAGTTTAGTCCACAAAGTGGCTGTCTGAGAGAGCAGGGCAGTCTCAGGCTCATTACCTAAAATAACATGAGGCAGTCCAGACTTGGTGATACAATAATTAGGACAAGTGAAGCTAGAAAGAGTTTGTTTTTCCTTATTGAAAACAATAGGACTGAACTAGTTTGGTGCAAACGACTTTGTGAAAATAACACAGAGGTTTTCTTCTCCAGAATTGTTTGTAGATAAGAAGAATGAGTGTTATTAAAGGAGAAGATTTCCAAGCATCTTTGTCTATTCAAGAGCTAACTGTAAGAAACTGGCAGCGGTTGTGAAACTGCTTATAAAGACAGTTATCATCCAATACAACACTGACTTTAAAAATGTAAGGATGAATTAATCCGGAATAGTGGTACTAGAATGCACTTTATAATTACTTTGGCAATCTGAGCAGTATGTTCAGAAGTTTCGTTTTCTAGTCTTCTGTTTCCTGCCAGCAAGTTGGCCACTTCTGCTTCTTTGGAGTTGAGCAGAGCTTCAAGGTTTCTTAAACGACCAGCTGCTGTGGTCAACTCAGCCTCCTTCTTACTGTTCCTGAGAACAGAGGTGAGGAACAGGGACTGTCAGAGACACTTCACCGCAAACCGATCAAAAAACCTATTGAACACAAAATACCCTCAAGGAGTACAGCTTCAGGACTGATTGAACCCTCTAAGCACAAAGGCAGTTTTTCCAGATGTAAGCACCTGATACTTGACATTTACTTTCCATTCAGTCACATTATCTTGAAAATAAAAAAAGCATTGATGAAAAAGAAGATTAAGGTTATCTCCCACCTAATGAAATCAAGTGGAGACCTGGACACTTATATTCAGAATACAGGCCCCTCATCTATCAAGGGCTCAATTTACACCGAGATGGAAATATGATCAAAGGTAACTCACTGATGAAAGCCAAGGGCAAAACATATAAACATTTGACGGGAACCATCAGCTTATATGTGGGGTGGAGGACGTGTTTATTTCTCGTTTATTATGTTTATAGAAAATGCGCAGGAGAATTATTTGAGGAAATATATAAAAAATAAAATGGTCTGTGTTCGTAAGTATTCTTCAAATGAGTCTCTTTCTACACTGAAGGTGTAACAGGCCCACCTGCACAGGGAAAGGCAAGTCATGGCCCTCTGAACTCTGCATTCGACAACATTTCGACTACACCTGTTTAAACTCGTCTTTACATTGCTTATGGACAGGAGGGCTCACGACTGCGTCTCAAAGCCGTTTACCTCGTCTGCAGCTGCCGGTGGTCCTCTGTGAGCTTGCTTAGCTCTAGCTGAAGCCTGGCTCTCTCGTTGGCCGTATCGTCCAGCAGCTTCCTGGCCTCGGCGAGCTCCGAGCCGTACAGCAGCCGGATTTTATCCACCTCCCGGGACGAGTTTTCCTCTTTCTCCTCCAGCAGAAGCTGTATGGAGGCTTTGTCATTCTCCAGCTGCTGGACTCGCTCGATGTAAGCGGCAAGGCGATCATTGAGCTGCCTGAGCTCCTCTTTCTCCTGCAAACGACTCAGACGCGTGGGGCTGGAGCCTGACGGAGAGACCCCAGCCGTGCTGCGCCTTGTGGTCCGGGATGCCCGGCTTGTCGAGGTGGCCGGAGGGGAAGTTACAAAAGCCATTGCTAGTTACGGATACACCTGTAATCTCTAAGCAAATATAAGATCAGTTATATGTAAACCGCTAAATGTGTTTATAATTTGGCTCAGATCTTTCTTTAAAACTAACCTTTATAACACTGCGCCATTAAAATAGTCTAGTATCTTGAGCACCAGTTTATCTTAAGCACTAAATTCCTAAAGATACCATTGCCTAAAATAACAGCGCCTATTCAAATAGAATTTTCGAATACCAGTTTCTAAAAGGCTACAACACGGATTAAAATGAACTGTAGTTAGACGACAAAACGCTGGCCGCCATTATTTGAGGGAGAATATTACTGCTCACTACCTTGGCTGACGCAGTCTCAGACCAAATATTTAACCGCTTTTTCTAATTCCAAAAAAAAACCCACTCCCCGTACTAACAGCTGTTAAGAAGTGACTGTATAAATAGTAGGAGTGATGTCACATCACAAGGTCACAAGCAAGGGAGAGTAATCGAATTTAAAGGGAAAGCTTTAGTCAACTGTTCTGATCAAGTCTGCGGCGATCGAGGATTGCCTGACTTTAGTGCACAAACCGCACTGTGCGGTTTTACTCAAAGTTACCACACGCGTCTTGTGTAATGACAGTGCATACTTTGAATAACACAGTCACGCGGCAAATAAGGAGGACTGCAATTTAAAAATGAACGTGAAAATATAAAAGTTGGGCGCCAAGTACTGTACAGTATATGAAACCGTTAGTATTGTATCATGTCCGTTTCCAGGTATTTTAACTGAATATGTGAATACAGTACTCACTTGTCTAAATGTTGAAATGAGTAATATTTGAAAATATTTTATTCTGCATGGGAACAAATTAAATAAATACTCTTTATTTGTAAGCAAAGTAAAACTTAACAAGTGCCACTTGTGAGCAAAACTGGTAAATATCACCCATCGGTAAAATTACCAGACATCCTGAACACAAAGTGTCGTCAGTCTGAGGGGAGAAAAGATCTGCATGATCTGTAAAACAGATTCCGTTGGAAAACATCAGTATTTATGCTCAATGATTTGAAACTAAACACCTCTTCTTGTATTTTTACATTACAGCTGGAAGAATTTATATCTTCTGAATCTCCTGCCTTAATAATAGTTCAATTAGCTACCTGGGGAACCTGAAAGATCAGTTAACAAAACATCAGTTAAACACATTTGACTGAATACCTGTAGTAGTTTTACTTTTCTAAAGTACTATACAATTGGACAATTTAAAATTGCTTTCTTTATGTTTACCTGTCTTTGAAAACTTCTTTGTGAAAAGGGGATTTCATCATTTTTCTGACTAAATTACTTACTTTCAAAAACGTCCTCTACTAAAGACCTCCAACATAAACATAACAATGGAAATAAAATTTGTAGTTATTGTTCATGGTGGTACTATTACTTAACAATTGGTCCGCAAGCCAACATCCACTGTAAGCACTATCAGAGCAGATTGCCTGTACAAGAGCTGCTTTAGTAAATACTGCTATACTCAAAGTTTCCCTTCATTTCTGGTTACTGCCTACACATCTCAAGGTTTAAAAGATACCCTTTCAAATTCAATTTTTTAATTTTATTTACACAGCAGCAAATATTAAAGTAGTAGGGTTAGATCCTAATGAAGGTGATGGAGGGATGAATGTAGCAGAGGTTGTTTGGCGTGACCCTCCTAGCTGAGAGAATGGCAGCCTGACTGTAAGGACGAGGCTGACCATACCCCTCTTCACTTTCATAAGGAATGAGCTGGGGAGCTGCTGCAAGGGTTCGAAAGAGAGATGTGCTAAGGGGAGAACAAGTGGTGAAATACATGTGAATACAGTATGTACACATAGGAGTGAATGTAAGGTCCATTAATTGTATATGTATAATGTATAATTGTATATGAATTGTATTGATATTCTATATAAAAACTATAAATTAATATACTGTATTTCTTCACATACACTAAGCACTCATTTTATATTAAACCTTCCTTCCATCCATTTTCTAACTCCTTCTTCCAGGGATATCCCAGCAAGCAATCCCAGCAAGTAATGGGTGGAAGTCAGAATACTACCCTGGACAGGACACCAGTACATCACAGTGCAGATACAGAAACACAGACATGAACACACTCACACCAGGGCCAATTTTCCCAGAAGCTAGTTAACCTACCAGTATGTTTTGGATTGTGGGAGGAAACCCACACAAACACACACGAGAACATACAAATTCCACATAGACAGCAGCACCCCAGGAATGGAACCCAGGGACCCAGCTCTGCAAGGCAGCAATACTAAACCCACCATGCCACCTGCGACAAACCGCTTAATTCATGAAATTGCAGAAGGCTGTCCTCTCAAGTTAACTAAACACATCTTTAAGTTGTGTGATCTTTTTCCTCAGTCTGTAGTCTTGTGGTTAGGCACTTGGTTGTTAGTTTGCACACTTCTCAAGCAATTTGCCTTTTTGATACTTGGCAATGTTTTTCCTACCCAGCAAGCAATGAGCACAAGGCAGGATACACCCTGGATGGGGCACCAGTCTTTCTGATCACAGTGGGAATGTTATGTCCAGGATTATGATCAACTTATGTTAATATTGTTTTTAAAGCTGTTACATGGAGTAACTTTATATTATATGTATATAATTTACAGTATAACACTTTATATTATGTAGCATGAAGCAAATACTGTATGTATGTATGCAGTCATTTGTCCATGAATAATGTTTATAAATCCATTCTTATACAGTAATAATAAAACACAAATTCACATAGCTTGTGCTTTTGAGGTAACATTACTTCGTTTAAGGTTATAACTTTGCTATACTGTACGTCACAAAATGTCACCAAATTTGGCACATGGACCCAAGTATCGCAGGGTCATGTCATGTCATTTACCAAACCGCTTTATACTGTAGCTTACAGTGTTGCGGGAAGCCGGAGCCTACCCGGCAAGCAACGAGTACAAGGCAGGGTACACCCTGGGCGGGGCGCCAGTCCATCACAGGGCCAGTGCAAGCCAATCAGACATGGGGACGATTTGGAGGCCACGGTAAAGGCCGAGGGGGGAAATTTGGCTTAGAAGCCGGGATAACTCCCTTCTTTTCTCGAGAATTACCCTGGGATCTTTAATGACCACTGAGAGTTAGGACCTCGGTTTAACATCTCATCCGAAAGACGGCGCCCACGACAGTATAGTGTCGTAACGCAGGGTACTTCAGGTAAATTCAAGTTGAGAAAGAAAACTGCAGCACGTGTGTCTCCACCAGGGGGCGCGCATTCCCTAGGATTTCATCTGCCTTTCCCGACAGCATTTCTTTGCTGTCTCATTTATCATACTGTATGTCTACTAACCATTTGTGTACGCTGCATTTATTTTTTAGACTTTTCTAAAAAAACGTATTTCAGAGCCAGCTTTTCAATACACAACACACAGGTTATTACGTTCTTGAAGGCCTACAATAGAGCAGCATATGTTCTGTGCAGAATGCCTTAAGCAGAAAAGTTTCATTCTTTAAATTCAGTTAATGTGACCAGAGACATAACATTCATTTATAAAAATGGGAATGGCTCTTAGTATTTTTTTTGTTTTCTTAAGCTTAACTGTCCAATAAATGTTTCACTGGCTTGATTTATGGTCAATATATTTAGGTAATAATGCTGATGGTGAAAGCATGGAATAAAGAAGCAATTATTTCTGAATGTCACTTTATTGGCATTTTTCCATGTAGGACTAACATTAAATAAATTCAAGTGAAAATGTGATATTTTTAGCAGGCCTGCAAAGGAATATTTTGACAGTAGTGGTGTCATCTTGTCAGGTTTCAGTAGCTCAGGAGGCCTGGGCCTGCTCAGTACTAGGATGGGAGAGGTCTAAGGAAAAACAGGTCACAGTGGTAAGATGTGATGGGAGACCAGTAGGTGGTACTCTTATCTCTGGACTAGAATTTCCTGTCTGACTTGTAAAGATTTTGTTCTACCTGAAGCTCCCCTTTAATTCAACTGGTGAAGCAGTTTCTCACTGCTTCATTCTACATAATGGCTGGAACATCTCACCCCTATTTCTAAAGCGATTTGGGATACTTTAGGATATAAAGTGCAATACAATTGCAAGAAATACTTGTTTTTATTAAAAGACAATACTGATGCTCTAGTTAAGAGTCTGAATAAGAATGTACTCCATTATCCAGATACAGTACAGTAGCAATTTTCCTTTGGCCTGACAGAGACAACAATGAAAGCTGTTTATGCAGAGTACACAAAACATTCAGTGGATTCTACAGATCCAGTACTGTAAACAATCAATATAGTATAAATAACAAAACCATACAATACAGTACAAAAACATAACATTCAAGAGTGAGCTACATACATAGATATGCTGTCAATGTAATGCTGTGAACATTAGGGTTTAAAAGAATAACTGCACTGGGAATAAATGACTTTCCTATAAACACTCCTACAATAGTATAGATGTGGATTGAGTTTACCTTGGGCATGAAGTTTACTATAGTATGTGGTTGGTACAACACTCAATGACAACTGGAGTATTTTTTACATAGGTGGCCCTTTGAAATCAGACTGAGTAAACATAGTGTTGTAGCTGAAATGCTGTATGTAACATTTATTTTAATGAAGGATTAAACATTAAAAGTGAAGTTCATTACAGCTGTATATTATGAAGTGTAAAACAAGGTGCTTGTTTTTTCAGATTTAATTTAATGATTAACTTTGATTCGATCTAGAAGTTACCCAACTAATATACTTGAAAAGCACAAGTTATAAGTTGATGCTCTTCTGTTGCTTTTCTTTTAAAAATATACGTTTTTAGATTGGTATTTTTCTTTTAATGAAAGATAATTACTTGAAACATTCAAAAACAGCTGGCTGGGGAGTTTGTTATATGAGGATTCTTTACTAAAGACAAAACACACGGTCACACAGATTTGTTTTTTTTATGCAGAAGATTCTTGCCTTACAGTCCCACGGTGACTGTAGTTTAAAAATTCAGGCGTTTTTGTGATGATAAGAGAAAAGCAAGATGAGAAAAACACAATTTCTCTCTGTAACCTATTTTGGTATCTGCTTCCTAATGTGGGACAGAGGTTGCGATGCACATCTGTAGGCTTCTGCAGCTGCAGCAGTAGCAGTCCTGTGACTTGTTTTGGCTTCTGGGCAAAGAGGCGTCACACAAATCAAGGACTGAGGAAACCTGCCCACAGCTAAAACTACCATTTCTACTAAAGAGAGAGTTATATTATAGAGTATAGTATACATGAAAATTCACTCTGGGACACTGATGTTTTGAAATCACTTAGCTTAGGTAGCTGTGCTTTGACTCATTGAAGGGAGCAGTGGTAAGGACTCTGAGCACCAGAGCAGAGTGGTCTGGATTCAAATCCTAGCTGTGATGCAGTTGTTGTATTCTTTAGTGTGATATTTCACTTGAATTGCACCAAGTTATTTGTGCAAGTGGGCCTTTGTTCTTACTGGACATTCCTGGATAAATGTTTTTAAAAATGAAATGTTTCAAGTTAGTTCTTTATTGCCACATCAAGTGTCTTTTGAAGCTTTTCTTAAGCAGGCAGGCAGGTTTGTCCAATCAATGCGGGTTTTCTTTGGTTTTACATTATGTGCATCATTATCTTTTTTTTAATGTCTGAATTTCTTGTACTGTGTAGAACCCTTTACAGAATGGCTATGGTAAAAATGATCTGCTATTTATCATTTAAATGACCTCTACAATAGCATTGATCTGGAGCGGTTGCTTCAGAACCATTGCATGGGACAAATCGGAGTGCTAACCGCCCCTCCCGAGGGAGAAAAGCATTGTGAAGTCCAGACAATTTAGTGATCAAATCAGAGTAGTGCCTTCCCATCTCACAAGTGCTGAGTTCTGGTGAAGACACTAATGAACTGAGCACACTGGTGGCTGAGAGAGTGCAGTGCCATAGTTAATTAAACTCAAATGGTTCCCCTTTGACTGCCAGATTTTACTCTTCACCTGATAATGAAGTGGCAAACTGTGCCCTTTCAGGAGCTTTTGTGGATGTTGTTGCTTTCATCTGATTTTTCCTGAGGAACTTATTGACAGATTTTGACCGAAACTGCAACATTATGTCAACAGGTCTTAGAAAATTAATTTTCACTCGCCTGGTTACGGGTACCTACTGTATAACAGAAACATTGTTTATTTTACAACTTCTAAGGCGAAAGTTGGTCACTTATCGCTCCTCTCACAGATGCCTTAAAATGATAGTGTTGTTCAGAAAAAGGAATATGAAATAAAGTGTTGCTAATGGTGTTTTAACGGTCTCCAATTTATTTTCGCTACAGCAAAGAGTGTCTGGCGTTGAAGAAACATTCACGTTAGCCACATAGTTATTTACCGCATAACTACACATGGCACCAAATTAAAAAATAATTTCACAGAACTACCGTCAAGAGTGGAAAAATGTTAACTTTAAAAATAAAAAAACTAACGTGTGTGTAAAGAAAGTCATATACTGTTCTTATTTTTGCAACAATGTACTCTTTACCTCAGCAATCTAGCTGAAGTATCCTGATCGTTACTCATCATTCAAGTGTTTTAAATGTTAGCTACATTTTCTTTAGGGTTCTCCTGGGCTTCATAATCCATGTTCGAGATACTATATTGCTGAAATGATCCACTCTGCGTATTTATTTTCAAACAATACTCTATGGAAGCAAAAAAGATCTAGGTTTTGGAAAAGTATTTTGGAAATGCGCAGACTTTACATCCCTTACATACCGATCCTTTCACGTAGTTTGAAAATCATTGCCTTGTTGCTCTAAGGCCATGTCATTATTACTTTTTTAAACTTGTTCTGTAGTAAATGAAAATACATATAAAAGACCGATGTAACCGCTAAATAGGGATGTGTGCATATCTTTATGTAAAATGTCTAAAACAGTAAAACCACGTTTTACCCTCAATGGGTTAGGCATTTCTACCGTATACGCACTGTGCTAAAGATATACTGTAAATGCAAATTATATTATAATATAGATTAGGTATATAGAGTATTCTAACCACATTGTAAGAAACCGACCGCTTTAAATGCATGAAATCATTTAGTCAATTAAGACAAGTTATTATATCAACCTGATATTGAGGAAAATAGAGGTAGAACAGGCACAATGCTTTCTGATCAAATTTCGCACTTGGCAGGCGAATCAACCCACACTCTCCTTAAGCGCTTTAAAATTGTCTAAACTTCAGCGCCGTCTAGGACGCCTGGCGGAGCTAGAAGGCAAACTGCTGCAGCTACAGTACCTACCACTTCATTAGCTTAAATCCTGCTTCAAGCCTAGACGCGCTGAGCTGGGGGAGCGAAAGTCACGGCTGTTTGAATACCAGAGAAACTAAACCTTTATTTCCTATGAGGCGTTCAATGAAATAAATACTTAGGTCAACAAGATCTGCTTTCTCTCCTCCCCGTTGCAACTCCAGAAACCAGTGACGATTGGAGTGGACACGCATGTTTGTTGCTGATGATATTTGTCTTTCTCTGAGGATTACAGAGAAAATGCGGGACTCTTCGTGACGTTTTCAAGTTAAGGTAAGAAGCAGACTTTTAACACGTGTGTGTATTTAATTCTACAGCGGACAACTTAGTAGTTGGATATAGCTGCCAACTTCCTATTGCTTTACTGGGACGCACTGGCGCTGGTCAGCGTGTTGGTGGGGCTCCGGGAGTAAATTGAAGTATTTTAAACTAAGCTCCGTTTTGAACTCCTTGACTTGCAGTGCTTTTATTGCTAAAAAGCTGTTAAGCATCAGTCTCCTTGAGAGCTTCGGGGCAGTATTCGGGACATAGTACGTCAGCAAAGTGGGGTCTTTACTGAAGAATGAGCAAGTGCGCAATAATCACCAACCACGTCTGTGATGCCTATCTGTCACTTCTTTAAACTTTGCAAAACAGGTGTACTGTCTGCGTAGCAGCGTTCCCCTCCGAAACTTGTGAAGATGTATAAAAGAAGTGTATATACAGTATATTCCTGCTTGTTTTTATTTGCGTTGCAACGGAATTGGTTGAACAAACTCCAAGTAAACATTCTGCCAACCGGTCTGTTCTGTTTTGTGAAGTTCCTTCTACTGAATTTGCAGTCCGTACTGCGGTACCTCGGAACAGTCGGAAATGTGTGATGGAGCCCAAGCAGTTCTTCTTTACATTGCACTTAGCGGCATCTCTTTCCTGGCGCGACTACCAATCAGGAAATGTCATTTATTCTCAATGGTAAAAAAGTTCAGATTGAGCGTATGATCTTTCTATTCAAACATATCATTAGTATGGAATTTAATTCGAAAATATTTCCATACTGCTCGTGTTAGGTTAATATCTATAATACTCGCTGGGTAATTGAGATTCAGGCTGCTTAATGACTAGGACATCTGTCAATTATAAACAATCCGGCTGCACTGCCTTGTTAAGTGTTTATCAACCTGTACTGAGAGACTTTCAGACGCTGTTTACTTCATAGCCATTTCATAATGCACCGTGTAATTCAGTATTTGTACCTGATATCTACTATTGGATTATTTTCTAAACAGTAGTAAGTGTAAAAAGTGATAAGAACAGAAGAGAATAAAGGTACCAGCCAATAATTAATCAGAATAGGAACGGCGTGGTTAATAATCACCCGTGCAATAATGTATGCCAAGTGTCTCATGGTGCAATCACTGAGAACGCGGCTCTTAATGTCATTTTAAAATATTTCGTACGGCTCATGTTAATTAGATCACACATACGTTCAGACTCTATTGCATTCTGTAACTGTGATAACACGTTGTTCCAAATACAAATGATCGGTGATGTAATCAGAACCAGAGATCCAAATTCAGCTTTTTTAAGGGCCTTTTCTTCTGTTCCCTTCCATAAAACTAAAAACAGCACCCCAGTGAAAATTATACCATAATCCAAATCTGATCTGAATAATTGAGGCTATTAGAAATGTTAGAAATGTATATAGATCATTAACATAATGATGACAGTGGTTCGTTCCAGTTTTATTAATAGTGAGCTGAAGAATGAGAATGAGAATTCAGGTTACCTCGGGTTTATATCTGTCATACAAATGACCATTTCGGTCCTCCTCGGTGTGTTTGACCTGTAGCGCCCTGGGCTAATGAGCATACAGTGAGACATACAGTGGACATTCAAAAAACATTAAAAAGGTAAAAATATATATATATATAACCACCTATACGTGACTGAATGAAATTGAACTTTAATGTAATCCCCTGAAGCCTCACAGAAAGACAAAAATGATATATTTTTTTAAAAAGGCGAGAAGAAACCACTAGCACTAGCCAGATCACATTTCTACTAGAAGGGGATTTGAATGACTCAATAAGTTTGGATGGCTACTTTACAAGTCCAAAAAAACTATTTTTCACATTGAAACTACCTGATCTCTGTGGTGTGCTCGTGGCGTGCGCTAAGAGTCGGAATCGCTGGCCAGCAAAAACCTTTTTTTGTTTTATTTGCACCGATTCCAAAAACAGTTTCATGTCTTCACACAGTTTTCTTAATTCAAGAAGGGACTGGCGGCGTGTGCTTCAGCTTGTTTATACTGAAACAATCTCTCTTTGACACAGGCGGAATCAAAGTACCATGGCTAAGCATTCCGATCTGGACAGCGCGGCCGAGAGGGAACTGGATCTGCTCACGTGGAGGATAAGCATAGCTGTCTTCCTGATCTGCTGTGGCGCCCAGGTATGAGAAATATTTGTCAAATACCTTCTCCTTCTTCAGCGTATGCTGTGCGCACAGCTTGCGTATTAGTTCAGCCCCTGAAAAACCCGATGTCCCTGTAATAATTTCTGTAAGTCAGATATGAAATAAATATTTATTTAGTCACATTTTGTTATTGTCGCTGTGGGTGGGGGCTCCTTACCCCACCTGGTACGCCGGTCACGTGAAGAACTACCTCTCTTCACCTGTGCTACAGCTTTAATTGCCTGGTCTGAATTGATAAGAAAGCATCTCCAGCTAAAGCAGAGGAAAATAAATGATTATGATGCTTAATCTTATTTAGAAGGGGCCAGGGAGAGGAGCTTCTGTAACTTAATACTCTCAGCGTTTAGGATTGCAGTGTGAATTTGTCTGCTTGTCAGTCTAAATGTTAATTCCCTTCAAAACAAGGGGAATCAACATTTGATATTTAATCCCCTTTACTGCTCTGTACTTAAAAGTCTCCTCTAATTGGATTTTTGCATAGCTCAGATGCCACTGGGCTACCAGGGTTCAGTGCAAAGTTCTTGTTCAATATAGCATAGTAGACTTTGATAATGCACTAGAGAAGAACCCGATAAAGTTCGAATGCAGACCATCCTCGTCTTAAGAAGCAGAAAGGCTGAAATAAACCATGTTAAATGATATTTTCTGGATTGTGGTTTTTGTTCTATAAATTGTGTCTCATCCTTGAGCTTGTTACTTTGTGAAGGTTTTAAAGTTATAAGCTTTACCACTGGAATGATGGAAAGTTCCCAGAACAAAAACAGTGTTCCTTGTGGGAATTTTAATTTTTACTGGTGTTAGCTTTGTAAATTCAATTTGTGTAAATCTGGTTGTAATATTTAACACCTTTTTGCAAAATAAGCTCTGGAAAATGTGGTTGTTTGGAATTCCAGCCAGAGAAGAGGGGTTGGTTGTAGGCATGTCTGCCTTGTGTCGTTTTTTTAAATGGGTTTCAACCAATAAATCCTGTGGATGATATCAGATGTAACTCGCTGTAGTCACAAACACTGGGTACAAAGGCCTGTTGGCAGAAATAAGAATTCTTTTCCATAAAGTGCAAGTGAAGCCTGATGAAACAAAGTGTCTAACAGTAAAATCTGTCAAATGCTTAAAGATTTTTTTTGAAAGGCAGATGAACAATGCATTATGTAAACACTGCCATTACGGGTTATTTTTACAGGCAGATGTTAAGCGAGAAGAGAAGAGATAGATATGCTCAACACAAGATGTTGTTTCCAATACCGTTTCTTTAAACATGCAGATGTTTAGTTAAATGGCTGAAATGTTGACAGAGTGTGAACTGCAGGCATTCCCATACTCGCACGAAATGCTGCCTCTCAAAAAGCTTGGCTTCCTAAATCTGTGTTTCTTTGGTTTGTCTGTTGTACATAGCATGAAGGGTATTCATAGATTATTAGCACTTAATCGTTTCTTAACTGTGTGCTAAGCATATGTGAAAGTAGGACCGATATAGAAGGAGCCCCTCCAAGTACTTTGTGTGTTTTTTCTCACATACAGTAAGTGTTTTGTCGCAGACAAGTCTGTCTGTCCTCAAGTGCTGTGAGGACACTAGACTCAGTATGAGGGACACTGGTGGGGTATTACTCCAAGCTTAGCGCAGTGTCAGCCTTTTTACAGTCTTATAGAGTTTGCTTGTAGAAATGTTGGCCTTCTGCATTTTTTTGTCTTGCTATTCATTTTGCAGTCAGGTTGTTAAACAGGAACTAATTAAAATGAATGAGCTAAAGGCAAGGTTTGGGTGTATATTTAAAAATGGACAAATCTTCATTAAAAGGTATTTTTCCCATCTGTGTAGAAAACATATAAAATGTCAAGATATTGGTTTTGACTGTATTTACATGTAGTTTAATGTGTCCTATGTTTTGGGAGTTGGGGAATTTTTATTGTTGGAATGTGCCATGGCTACAGCTGCTCTGTGTTAGTTCAAAGTAAAGAGGTCCTGTTCTTCACCACTGGACACCAGGTAAAAACGGAGTAGCACAGCACGGTCAGGTGAATTTATCCAGATCTTTGGCTTCCTGGTACAGGTACCCATATGACAAGTGTGACATATGGGTACTGTATATGATGATTCCCTCTCTCATAACTGACAAACAGCTGCAACTGTACAGTACATTGCATGAAGGCGTTGAAAGCCAGGGGACTTTATTTTTCTCCATATAAAACTGGATTTATAGTGAATATACAATACAGACTTTTCACCTGCAGTGTTGTGAAAATGTGTATAGTACTTCATAAACATTTTGGAGCAGAAGTTAAAAAAATCTTCTCCTTTTTTAACCTGGTGAAATTCTTTTACCCTTAAAAATCTAACCAGACATCAAACCTTATGAATAATACACTTTTTAATGTTTTCTATAGTAGAAATGTTGCCCTCAGTCTAATAATTACGTTTAAATGCATTTTGGACAAAAAGAAGAAAGTCTCAGCATTTTGCACTAATGTCTCAGAAATGTCCAGAGTATCCTGTGTCCTTTCAGCAGCTTTTGATTTTCCATACGAAGGTCAATTTTTAATCTTTCAAGCAGTATTGTCAGAGTTACCGAGCAAAAAAGAACAAGAGACAGATATTTTTTTAATCTTTAAATATTGCTGCACTATTTTTTTAAAGATAGGACTTGTTCTTTTTATTTCATTAAGTTTAATGGAGAAGCCGTGACATGATGAAAATGGTCTTTAAATCAACATTGCACAGCTAATGTGTAACAGAATGAATCTGCAGACAAGGGTCTAGGAGTCAGCCTGTTCTCTGAGGTAGTTCTAATGTTGTTCATATCAATAGCAGCTCAGATACAGATGTAAATTAGATTGAATGTGCCTCAAGTCTGGGACGTCTCTTCACTGGTTGGTGTTTGTTGTAAGTGTAAATCTTGACTGATCACGTAAATCTCACGGGCCTGGTGAGGGTTAGTTCAATGTCACCTGTTTTTTTTTAAGATATGAGGCTTTGAAGCTGTACAGCAGTTAAATATAGAGGTCACCGTGACTCCCAATGGAAGAACTGACAAAAATAAGCTGTGTGTTATTTGCAGTCCCCAATGACGGTAAACACTGGACTGACTGTCAGTTTCAGCTCTTACTTACTGCACAGAAACAAGCAACAAATGACATGCCTTTGTATAGCATATTCTGCAATGCAACATCTTGTTTTTTACAATAATAATATATAAATGACAGATGGAAGGCTTAGTATACAGTAGTTATTTAGTTCATCTTAGTTTAGTATTTAGTACTTAGTTTAATAGTTAGTTACTAAATACTAAGCAGTTCTTAGGTTTTTAAAATGATTGTCTGACTTCACTCACTGAAGAAAATGAGGTTACACATTAATTGAAAAGGGGACTCCTTTTCTTCTAGTGATTATGTTTCAGTTTTTATAGTAAAACATGTAGAAATGACAACTCTAAGAAAGTTGCTAGCATTCACATCTATATCTACCTTATCCCACTGATATTTGTCACAGAGCTGTTTCTACTGGGCTTCAAGGCGAAGGCAAGACTGCCGCCTGGTTACTCTGGTGTTTTTTAGGGAGATACTAGGGGGGGTTTATGGTCTGCTGCTTACAGCTTTCTTTCCTGGCTTTTTTGTCATTAGCGCACAGTGTAAAACACAGATGTTATCAGTAGCATTTCCCAGGGTCTGCTGTCCTGCTGGTTACCTAAGCAATGACCTGCACCAGTCTGCAGTTTGGTCTTGTTTGTGTGATTTTAAAAGACAGTTCACTTTCTTCCTGTTTTGCTTTAGCCTCTCCGTTTTGTCTTGTAAACCTGATTGACTTCTCCCATTTGTTCCGCCCGCAGCTCTTCACTTTTCCTGAACATTTATCAGCTGTGCAGAAAGCCCACCCTTGGTAAAACAAATTTGATTGCACTGTCATGCAATCACACCAAAGCACACCCCCCTGCCCCTAGAGTACTGATACCCATGGGAAGCTGTTTAAATTACGAAACAAGTGTTTTTGGACTGAAACAGCTGCTTAATCTGTGACCCAATATTGAATGACTTTTGAATATTAATTGGCTTTGAATAGCTTAGATTACATTTTTTGGTAGAAAAATATTGTTTAATTCCTCTACAAAAAGAAACACAACTTGTTGGTGCAAGGCCCCTGCACCTGCATCTCTTCTAATCCACTCTTCTCAGATTTAATAAAATGTGATGTTTAATGTTTTTTCACAAACTTTTTTCGCAAACTTCTTTCTTTGTTACATTTGGCATTCATGTTATTACAATATCTTTATATGTTGTTCAGATAATCAGCCCACATTTTTTGCTGATACTAAATTTAATGGACTACCACTGGAACAGAACTAAGACAAAATGAGCAAACCAGTTTCCCATGGTGTCTTTTTATATGTAGGATAAATACTTCAACAGGTTTTAGGGTCAGATGCCGACAAAGTTTCTATATGGTCCTCATGGAAGCTGGGAGGTTCAATAGGTAAGGCAGAGAGATCTTTGTCAAGTTTTTAAAGCTCTCAGTCCCAGATTCTCTGTGTGTCACCCAGTGCAAGTTACTGGACCTGCTTGTGTTTTGTCATTCAGGCACGGTGTCACAGCCGTCACTGACTTTCCCTTAGCAGCTACTGATGTTAAGTTTACCCTTTCGTTTTTATAATACGCCTTAGATAAGAGCCTGCTGAATGACTGGTTATTATTATATCCTCTCGATTGCTAAATCAGTAACTCCGGGCGTGTTCATTACAGCGAGAATACTTCTGCATTCGCTTTGCTTTAGGCAAGAGTGGGTGGGAGACAGCAGTGCACTGTATGAGTCTTTCAGGCCTTAAGAATCCCTCAGACCTTCAGCAGAGTTTAAAATTCTCACTTGTTCTGCTGACAGACGCTTGAGACCCAGCAAGTCCCGTGGAATGACTCACTGCTGGCCATGTGTTAGAGGACTCCGTGGGCTGTGAGAGTGAGAGTGGATGTTTTTTTCTAGATATTCCTTTTTT